AGCCCAGATCTCCTGATTCTCAGTTCTATGCCTTAATCAGTGAACAATACGCCCTCCCTAAATACATCCACCCTGTTAACCCCATCTGCCCCACCTCTCCGGGTAGGTTACAGTCACTGGTGTAGCTGCCCCCGTGCAAACCTCTAGTGTAGACGGGGGAGGGGGGTTGCTATTTTCACTGGTGCAGCTACAACAATAGCTGGAACCAGGGCAAATTCTTGACGGGTGTAAATTGACACACACGTGCTGAGGATCTGCCCCCGGGTGTAACTGAGGCCATAGATTAGAAGTGAAATAGAAGGAAGCCAGGGAGGGAAAAGACATTTCCGGTGCTCCATCCCGTAAGCATGGAACAGATTTTGGGAGTGTTCAAATGGATGATTATGTTTCAGCCCTGGAGCTTCCAGGCACTAATGCACTGCAAAGCCCATTTACAAACCCGAGCCGAATGACGAGTCCCCACAGGGAATTGAATGTCCCGGACTCTCCTCCCCCAGGCTGCTCGGACGAGACATGTGTCCAGGAAGCAGCATGTTGTACCATAAACGACTGCAAACGTAAAGGCAAATTTTGCTGTGTCCTGGGGTTTAACTAGGAGTCCTGACAGCTCTCCGTGCAGAGCACGGCCGGAGCCAAGAGCAGGGGGTTTCACTACCCCACGTTTGGCGAGGGACAGGTTTCCGTGGCTAGAGATGAACTTGACGAAAAAAGCCCAGCTCTGACCATGGCCAAATTCTGAAACCGGATACGGACCCTTTCCCTGGGCTGCGTCCTCAGCCGGTGTAAATCAGTCCAGCTCCATTGACGCTGATTTGCACCAGCTGAGGATTTGGCCCTCTGGTCGTCAATGAGCCCAGCAGTTCCTTTGTTCAGTTGTGCCTCTGCAATCCTGGATTCTTCTTGTACCTCCTCAGCCCCCTGGGGAACGGAGGGACCCAGCCTGCGTCGGCAGGAAGGCGGATTGGGTCTAGGAGGTCTTTGTCCTTTAGGTACAGTCTACGTGTGCTGCAATGTTGCAGGTCTTGGCCATTCTTGGGGGCCAGTTCTCCTGGGGGTTGGGACCAATATTCACTGGGATGTTGTTGCCCCAAAATAGGCCAGGGTCTAAAAAAAAAAGGATCAGGAGGGAAATGTGTGTGTGTGAGCGAGAGATAAATGTGTCAAACTAGTGAAAAAGACGGGGGCAGGAATCTAGAGCAGCTACAGAATGTGGGAAATGCGCAGAAAATTTGGATTCCTTGCAGGGAAGGATTAAAAATGTTGCTCTCGAGCTTGCAACAAAGCAGCCAGTCTCACGGCTCCACCTGCAGCAGCTGCTGCCTGTCCTCTCCCTACCCCCTCGCCTCCCCTGCAGAAATGGGTGTGTAAAGGCGCCTGCAGACCCGGGAAAGAGACTCTGATCTCACCCTGCGGAAAAGGGAGACATCAGGGTTGCAAGACACCCCCCATGTGCTACCCACCTCCATAAAGCCCCCCCGCTGCCTTGCAATCCGGGGGGCTGGAACAGTTTGTATAGTGGGGGTGCTGAGAGCCACTGACCCAAACTGTAAACCCTGGCGATCAGCACCCCGAATCCCTGCGCTTGCAATGCTCTGGCCACTCCGGCGTGCCACACAGATCCGGAAGGCGAGGTCCCCGCTCGGGGTTGCTGCAGGTTGAACCCACCACCCCCGAGCTATGCTAGGGACAGACCTGGCTCACCGGCCCTGCGGGGAGGGAGCAGCTGGGTCCCTGGGGTGGGCGCCTTTCTGAAGATGGGGATGCAGGGCTCCAAGGGTGATCTGGTGCCTGCAGCCCTGTGTGCACCTAGGGTGACCAGACAGCAAGAGTGAAAAATCGGGGGGGGGGTAATTGGAGCCTAGATAAGAAAAAGCCCCAAATATGGGACTGTCCCTATACAATCAGGACATCTGGTCACTTATTGCACCCCCCATGTGCAGAATGCCAACTGCCCCCCAGCAGCTCACGTCTGGGGGCTGCTGGGGGCACCAGCCCTGAGCTTAGCCCGGGATTGCCCTGCCCCCAGTCTTGGGGGGAGCCATGGACTTGCTTTGGCAGCCCCCCCCCGGCTCAGCTGGGGACCCCAAAGACAGGCGCTCTCCGTGGGGCTGGGCGGGGGGTTCACACATGCTCCGGATTTCTCGGGCTGCGGATTCGTGCTGCAAAGCCGCCCCGCCCGCTCTTTGTCTGCAGGACGGGAGGGGGTGCGGGGGGGGGGGGGACAGAGGGGGCGGGGCCATTACCTCATTCCCCCCCCGCGCTCTGCACCAATCCCCGGGCGGAGCCGGGCGAGCCGACCAATCGCGGGAAGGCCGGGCCGGTCGCCATGGCGACGGGAGGGTATATAGCGGCCGTGCGGCCGCGCGCCCCCCAAGTTCTCTTACAGCGACCCCCTAAGAGTCGCGCGGTAAGAACGCGGCCAGCGCCCCCGCCCGGCAGCCAGCATGGTAAGGGGGCGCGTGCGCGCTGGGGGGCTGCAGCCCCGCGCCGGCCGGGGCTCGCCTGGGCCCCCCCCGGCCGCCGCCGCAGCCCGTCCCCGCGGGGCTCGGGTGGAGCCTGGTCCGGGGCAGAGCCGGGAGATAAAAGGGGGGCGCGGCTGTCCCCCGGCCGGGGGGGCTCTAAGGGGGGTAGGGGGGGCGCGGCTGTCCCCCCGCCGGGGGGGGCTCTAAGGGGGGATGGGGGGGACACGCGGCTGTCCCCCGCCGGGGGGGCTCTAAGGGGGGCGTGTGGAGCCAACCGCCCAGGGCTGTCCCCGAGGTCCGGGCACTGGCGCTGCCTCTCATTGCTGACGGTGTCCTGGGATCGGTCCGACCGACACGGGCAGCCCCGGTGCGACGGGGCGGCTGTACCCCGTGGCTCGGTGGGGCGCGGCCGGCCCCGGGGGCTCTGCGTGGCGCTGGCAGACGAGCCGTGTTGTCTGGAGCCGGCGGCTCCGGGCTCTGCCCAGCCCCTTTGGGCGCACGGACGAGTGGGGCTGCGGGAAGGGGACGTGGCAACCACCGGGTCCCTCCCAGCTCCAAAATCCTTCCCGGGAGAGCCAGAAAGTGCCGGGGCTGGACGGGCCACACCCTTGCGCCCCAGAGAAGGGCTGTCGGTCCGCCCAGCCCCAGAGATCAGGTCCCTTTAGCATCAGGCAGGGC